ACTCATATATATATATATATATATATATATAATAAGGAAAACATTGGTCTAAGAAGGGTAAGGACCTTAAACTTTTTCTTAACCCGCCCTAAGCTTGGGTAAAGGAGGTGGTTTGTGTTAGGTAAGCGACCAACGTAAAACTTTTCCAAAACATTCCATGAATCCTGAATCTATGGTATTTGCTTATGCTTGGGCATTGAGTATGGCCCTTGATAGAGCAGAATGATGGATCAGGATTCGTCTAGCCGATCGCAAATAGTTAAGAAAAGGTTATGATGATGAATAGGGAAAACATACTACATCATATGATATGCGATGTACCATGGGGGCATCTCTTGGTAGTCCTCAACGATGGGCATTTGGCCAGGTAATGTTCACCTCCACCCACTGTTGTAACTAATGGAAAGTGGATGCCCCCGCAGTGTACCATATCCCACAACCAATGGTGGATGGCCTAACTTCTGCTCAACATTTGATCTGGAAAAAAAAGAAGCTAGGAAGCTCCATTTTTTTAGCTATTGACTAATTTTTCTTTATTTTCATTGTGATTAAATTCTGCTTTTCTATTTGTTCACAGGTAAAGTAGGGGGTTTTATAGCATCAATTCCTCATGTAATCGTTGCTGGTTTGCTATGCTTTATGTGGGTCATGCTTGTAGCACTGGGCTTGTCAAATCTACGTTATAGTGAGGCAGGGAGCTCTAGAAATGTGATCATAGTTGGGCTCTCTTTGTTTTTGTCGTTGTCAGTACCTGCTTACTTCCAGCAATATGGAGTAGTCCCAAATGCAAATTCTGCCGTTCCAAGTTATTTTCAACCGTATATAGTGGCATCTCATGGACCATTTCGCAGTAAAAATGATGGGGTATGCGTCCTTTTCATCCTCTTTCATGTTCTAGAAGCAAATTCAATAAAAAAAATGCCTGATGCGAAAATGCCCATCTTTGTGTGGTCTTTTTTTTCAATTGTTTGGTTGACCTTTAATTTGCGCTAGTTTGGCTTTTTGCACATGATTGGTTGTCACATTCGTTAGACAAATCAATGCATTTGTAGTGATTAGCCTCACCACACACACTCTCTCTCTTTTTATATTTTTTTGTGGTCATATATAAACTCCGATAATATCAATCGTTTGCATGTACTTGCTTTCACATGTAGCAATTTTGTTTGCATGCATCCATTGGGTTCTTTTTAACTTAATATTGTTTTGGGCTTGGGTGTTAAGGGGGCAGGATCCTCAACGTAATGTCTCACCCTTAACATATAAAAAGAAATAAATATTGTTTTGGACTTTCTAATCTTGCACAGTTTTTCTTTATTGGTAGCTTGCGTGATTGCTTTTGGGCAAAAATTGCCTTTAAATCTTGATTAAGGGAGTTTTTTCAGTCTTGGATGGATACTGATATTTCTGTTTTCTATGGGCCTTGCGGTGTTTTACTCGATTTCTATTGTCCGTCTTTTTATGATCCATTTCAGCAGCTTCTAATTTTATATAATTTCAGCAGCGTCTTTTTATGATACATTTCAGCAGCTTCTAATGTTTTAAATCTTTTCTTTGTACTGGGTTTGAAAGATTTTGCAGCAATAACAATTTCTGTGCCTTGATTTTGCAGGTGAGTTATGTACTAAACACGTTACTATCTCTTCACATGGTTATTGCATTTTTGGTAGCATTTATTTTGGACAATACAGTCCCTGGTAGCCGGCAAGAACGTGGGGTTTATGTCTGGTCTCGAGCAAAAACAGCAAGGAGAGAACCCGACATGGTCAAGGATTATGGGCTCCCCTTTAGAGTGGGAAGAGCCTTTGCATGGGTGAAGTGGGTCGGCTTATGAGAGAGTCCCTTGAGCTCCATTAAGAAGCTCCATTGAAATTGTTTTGTTATCTTCATGGATGGCCATCGGAAAGAAAATGAACGGAAAAAAGAAGAAATCATGGCTTCAATGTTTATATATTTATAGTTATAGAGAGAGAAACAGTCTGGATTCATGGTGAATTATCCTGATGAAATGGGGTTTTTTGTGCTATGGTAGCTAGTAGCATTGAGAATTGAGGTGAGATGTTTTCTCTATGGAGGCTGGGAGATCAGAGAAAATGGGTTATCTGTAAAATAATTGTACTACTATGAAGGTTTCTCTTTTTGGGAATGGACACTGTAATTTAAAATGAACTTGAGCTCTTTGTCCTTGGAATGCATCAATGAGTTGTTTTCCTTTATGTATCCATTTCTTTACAATGGATTTGAACTCTTTCGTCCTTAAAATGCATCATCCACAAGTTGATTTCAACTGTAAATTACATAGTTGTTTCTTCTTCCTGAATCTTTTGAAAGGGCTTCTGATTTCAACTGTAAATTACATAGTTGTTTCTTCTTCCTGAATTCTTTTGAAAGGGACTCCAATATAGACTCTGATGATACTTTCGCTTGAAAGGGACTCCAATATAGATTGATGATGCTTGCGCGCAATCGTGCATGTGCACAGCGAGAGAGAGAGAGAGAGAGAGAGAGAGAGAGAGAGAGAGAGAGAGAGAGAGAGAGAGAGAGAGAGAGTAGAGTAGTACGTACGTACGTACGTACGTACGTACGTTACGTACGTTACTTACGTTACTTACGTTACTTACTTACTTACTTACGTTACTTACGTTACTTACGTTACTTACTTACGTTA